TAAAAATAATAATGTTTACATATAACTATTTTACCTATAAATTTAACTTTACATAAGTAAATTTTTTATCTTGCAAAGTATCAAATGATATTTTGTAATACTTTCTTTGAAATATAATAATAATATAAAACTATAAAGTTGATAAATCTATGTTACAAGTAAAAATTTGTTTATTAGTATCTATTTATTGTTAGGTAGTATAGGTAGCTACGCAATAGCCTCTTTTATTCATACGCCTCTTACAATGGCAAAAATTCAGTTGCATATGGAAAAGAAAAGGAAATATTTAGGTATTAAACCCAAGTCCTCCAATGTTTTAGAAGCAATTTACAGGGCTTACCAAATCGATGGTATTCGTGGCATGTACAGGGGTGAATACATACTTATTTTTATAATTTAGTTAATACTCTCCATTCTGTTTTTACACATTTTTCCTATCTAAATCTATTAATTAATCTTTCTCAAAACTTTTCTCATCTTGAACTTTTTTTATTTTTGGGTAATCCCCGAATTATATAACTTCGGTACAAATGGAAACGTTTTAGCCCGAAGTCTACAGTGAATGTTTGGGCTTCAAAATCAAAAAGTACTTACTTCTTTGATGTTCAATGCGAATAAAAATTTTAATTAATTCGTACATGTATGAATTTATTAATTTTGCAAAGAGACAAAATGAGAATAGTAAAAATTTATTAGATAACAACAGATGTAGGTGTACCATATATATTTTTCATTTAATAATTTGATGCTTCATCATCATAAAGCCGTCAGTCCTAAGACTGGTTGAACACGCGCCACCACTCTTTCCTATCCTGAGCTAATCTTCTCATTTTCCTAAATCTAGAACATCAAACATTTGATGCTTATTAGTACAATATAATTATAACAAGAAATTGAGTTACAGAGAATACAGGGGCATAAGATTAGTATGCTTAGATTTGCAGATGATAAAGCAGTATTAGCATCTAGCAAGGAGGAGTTAGAGATAGCTTTAAATAAAATGGAAAATACTGGTATGGAAAAGAAGAAACAGTAGGGAAAGAGCGAATATAAAGATAGGAGACGAAAAATTAGAAGAAGTGGCTGATTTTAGGTATCTAGAAAATTAAATAAGTCAGGATATAAAGCAGAGAATAGCGCAGGGTTGAGTCGCTTTCAATAAAAAGAAGTCATTTCTAACGGTTAATTTAGAAATTCGAAAAAAATTGTTAAAGATGTATGCGAATGATGAGGATACCATGGATAGAGAAGGTTAGAAATGAAGAGGTATTAGAAAGAATAGGAGAACAATGAACTTATGTAAGTCATTAAGAAATAGGTGAGACAGATTGGTAGGACACATTCTCAGGCATGAAGGTCTCTTTAGAGACATATTAAAGGCAAAAACGGAAATTAGGAGGGGTACAGGTAGAGGGTAGAGGATGGACCTAGATTAGATTACTGTTCCCAAATAGTTATGGATATGGATTGTTCTAGTTTTAGGGAAATGCGAAGATTAGCTCAGGATAGGAAGGAGTGGAGGTGTGTGTCCAACCAGTCTTAGGACTGACGACCTTATGATAATGATGAAGAAATTGAGTTGTAGGTGGTGTTCCGCTCACAATTTTGGATGTTATATACCTTTTATGTCAAATGCAGTTTCAACCTATGACTTTCAATAACGCTGAGAAATTAGGACTTCCTCGTCCAGTATCCATAAGTGTTACGGGCGCTGTTTCATTAGCCTTGACTTCCATTTTTTGCTTACCACTTGACGTAGTTACGACAAGGCTACTCAACCAGGGTGCTTATGAGCCTAATGAGTAAGATATATCTAAACAGGGCTAACTTTATAAGCATAAAGCTATAAAAAAATAATCGTTTATATTAATTCATTTTCAATCCAAATTTATACTGCAAGTCTTTCCTTTATAAGTAATTATCATAATAAAGTTGTAACAGTTCTAATGTCAATTTTAGGAAATACATCTACAAGAATACCATGCACTGTGTAAGAATGATAATTGAAAACGAAGGGTTTTTTGGATTTTACAAAGGCTTCGTCCCTTTTTTTCTTCGTAGTGGTTTTACTGCAGCGTTTTATCAGTGTACTTATCATATTTTTGTCTTTTTATTGGGGTATGAATTTTAACTACGTATGTGAATATTGTCCAAATGAAATAAAGGTTTGGTAAGAATATTTACTTTATAATTAATAATAATAATATAGCTCTTGCAGCCAAAAGCAATTTTTCCCAAGTACGACGTAAATTTATGATATGAACTCCGTCAGAACGTCGTTTATAGATGTACCTGAAATTAAATATACATACAATATCAAATTGTTTTTTTGAGGTTAAGTTTAATCAAAACCACATTTTGAGACAGGACTATTTAATTGGCCACACAAAAAAGAATAATTTTGTTCTTGGAGAATAAAGCAAATTTGGTAACATAAACTTACTGTTCCATTTGAAAGTCTACATTTGAAGTACCCAAGTGGGTACATGCAGCAAGCATTTTAGTAACANGTCCACATTTTTAAAAGTGGAATCAAACTGATTATTACACCAAACACTAGGCCTAGTTCTACTCCATAGGCAAGACTAGCACAAAAGGTTGCTATAGTCACCATCATGTCGAATTCTAAAAAAACAGTACCAGACAAGAGTGAGTTATTTTAAAAAGTTTGACATTATGGCGGCTGGCGTCCACCATATTAATACTTTCGTAAGGTTACTTATACTACGTAGACTTACTGTTTATTTTCCACAACTTGGGGATAATTTCATAATCGACCATAAACATGACAGCACTAATTAGGACGGCAGCAAGGGTTGCACTTGGAACATAGTAGAAATATGGGGTAAGGAATGTTAAAGCAAGAAGAATAATTGTCCCTGAAATAGTAAATACATTACAAAACCAAAAAAGGGATTTGCAGTGGTTGACAATATTAATTTTTCTCAACAACTTTTTATTTTTTATACTATTTGTTTGAGAACCCTCTCAGAAAGTGATAATTTCGTTCTTTTATCCACAAAATTTATACATAGGTTGATTGGTATCCTCAAGGAGCGTAACTAGGGCGTAAAATCCTTTGCTTAGGCTGTGAGACTCAGAAGGATTTTACGCCTTCGTCACAACCATCAAACCCAGTATTTTAGACAGTTTAAAATTGAACAAAAACGTCTCTCAAAAAAACTTTTTCTTTGAGATATAATTTTTGCATTTTAAAAAACTATTTTAAAGAGACTTCTGTTACAAATATATATAAAAATTATTTTAATGAATAGTAACCTGAGTATAATCCTGCCATTGGAGTCCGAACTCCACTAGCATTGCTTACAGCAGACCTGGTAAAAGCTCCAGTAGCAGGCATCGATTGTACAAAAGATCCCAAAATGTTACATAGGCCAAGTGTCACCATTTCTTGGGTAGCGTCTACTATTTTACCGGCAGCTAAATTTTTTTATTAATAATATTTTTAATAAAAGTCTTTTGCCAATATCTACTTTACCAAAAGATTTGGCAATAGCAACGTTTGCTAAAACTGCGATAACTGGTACTATGATGACTCCCGATCCTAGCATTCCTACCATGTCTATGAAAGAAAGGGTTTCATTGCCCATTTTTGTACTAAACTGTGGCGGTTTGAAGTCGGGGATACCCCTAGTGATATTTCCTGTAATAAGTTGTTTTCTTCGTTTATTAGGTGTTTACATTATGTAAGCAGCTATATTTTTCTAGTGATGTACTTGAAAGAGTAATGTTTAAATTTATGACTATACAGTGTAGCTTTTGCGTATTATAAAATTAACAATGGAAACTGTAAATATTCATAAATTACCATAAATTTTAAAAGGTACTTTTCCCCATTTTTGTTCAAAATAGCAAGCCAAAAGTGACGTCAACAAGACTATTAAAGCATTTCGTCCAATAGAAAACAGCCACAAAATTTTCTTACTGGTCTCACTTTTAACTTTGATTTTAGGAAGTTGCTAAAAAAAATGTTTTAAATATGTGTGTACATATATGTACATACATAACACAATCATGCAAGAATCAAATTACCTTAAAAGCGATCAAAAAAATCATGCATGCAATGCCCAGTAGGGAATCCCCTAAAGTTATTTTATTTATATGTAGATATAGTTTATAAGCCCAGTCGATTATTCCTTGACTATTATATTTAATACCCAAAAGACCTTTCAGTTGTGCCATTATAATTATTACAGAGGTAGCTGAGGTAAATCCTGATACAACAGGAACTGATATAAAATCTACCAAAAACCCTGTAAAAGATTAAACCCTTAAGTAGAAAATTTAGAGTAGTAAAATCTAATGTGTACTTACCAAGTCTTAAGATTCCCATGATGAGCTCCACACATCCAGAAAGGAAGCAAAGCAAAATAACAAATTCAATTGGTAAATNGTAAAGAAAAGATCAATTGTTATTAGTAGGAATGTCACCGGTATGAAACAATTAGTATACCTACATGTACTCACATAATATATATATATATATAAATAAAAACAAGTACATTAACAATTTAATAAGGGTAGCTGTTCATTAAGGTTGGTCTTGGAAAAAGAGATTTTATACGAATTTTCTAAAAGTTTTCCTGAGTCTGAATAACAAAATACAAGTTCGTCTTTTCTATAATATTTTTCTAGGGCTGCACTCACTTCTTCGCTAACGTTAATAAATTTGGTTGTAATGGACATTTTTTTGAGAGTTTTCTGGAGATTTTGTAGAGACTAAATAAGAAAGAATAAAAAATAGACAAAAGTACTATGAAATAAATTAATAACAAGATTGTATTTTTAATAATATTCAAACAAATTTACCTGCATAGAAGAATAATCCAATCTTAGCACTGTGCTAAAGTCTATTATGACGACTGAAATATGCATTTTTTCGAAATTATTCAAAATTTTAACTGTTTCCTGTGTAAAATAGTCAACAGCTGGGAATAAAAATCCCACTTGCAGCTCCAACAACAGACACATTTCTCCTGATTGCAACTAAATCATTTAAAACCAATAAACACATAGGAATTTTAAAAATAAAATATAGGCACTTACAGCAATTGTTTGAGACTTAATTTTCGGCCTCGTCCACATTTTTAAAAGTGGAATCAAACTTATTATTACACCAAACACTAGGCCTAGTTCTACTCCATAGGCAAGACTAGCACAAAAGGTTGCTATAGTCACCATCATGTCGAATTCTAAAAAAACAGTACCAGTTATTTTAAAAAGTTTGACAATATGGCGGCTGGCGTCCACCATATTAATAATTTCGTAAGGTTACTTATACTACGTAGACTTACTGTTTATTTTCCACAACTTGGGGATAATTTCATAATCGACCATAAACATGACAGCACTAATTAGGACGGCAGCAAGGGTTGCACTTGGAACATAGTAGAAATATGGGGTAAGGAATGTTAAAGCAAGAAGAATAATTGTCCCTGAAATAGTAAATACATTACAAAACCAAAAAAGGGATTTGCAGTGGTTGACAATATTAATTTTTCTCAACAACTTTTTATTTTTTATACTATTTGTTTGAGAACCCTCTCAGAAAGTGATAATTTCATTCTTTTATCCACAAAATTTATACATAGGTTGATTGGTATCCTCAAGGAGCGTAACTAGGGCGTAAAATCCTTTGCTTAGGCTGTGAGACTCAGAAGGATTTTACGACTTCGTCACAACCATCAAACCCAGTATTTTAGACAGTTTAAAATTGAACAAAAACGTCTCTCAAAAAAACTTTTTCTTTGAGATATAATTTTTGCATTTTAAAAAACTATTTTAAAGAGACTTCTGTTACAAATATATATAAAAATTATTTTAATGAATAGTAACCTGAGTATAATCCTGCCATTGGAGTCCGAACTCCACTAGCATTGCTTACAGCAGACCTGGTAAAAGCTCCAGTAGCAGGCATCGATTGTACAAAAGATCCCAAAATGTTACATAGGCCAAGTGTCACCATTTCTTGGGTAGCGTCTACTATTTTACCGGCAGCTAAATTTTTTTATTAATAATATTTTTAATAAAAGTCTTTTGCCAATATCTACTTTACCAAAAGATTTGGCAATAGCAACGTTTGCTAAAACTGCGATAACTGGTACTATGATGACTCCCGATCCTAGCATTCCTACCATGTCTATGAAAGAAAGGGTTTCATTGCCCATTTTTGTACTAAACTGTGGCGGTTTGAAGTCGGGGATACCCCTAGTGATATTTCCTGTAATAAGTTGTTTTCTTCGTTTATTAGGTGTTTACATTATGTAAGCAGCTATATTTTTCTAGTGATGTACTTGAAAGAGTAATGTTTAAATTTATGACTATACAGTGTAGCTTTTGCGTATTATAAAATTAACAATGGAAACTGTAAATATTCATAAATTACCATAAATTTTAAAAGGTACTTTTCCCCATTTTTGTTCAAAATAGCAAGCCAAAAGTGACGTCAACAAGACTATTAAAGCATTTCGTCCAATAGAAAACAGCCACAAAATTTTCTTACTGGTCTCACTTTTAACTTTGATTTTAGGAAGTTGCTAAAAAAAATGTTTTAAATATGTGTGTACATATATGTACATACATAACACAATCATGCAAGAATCAAATTACCTTAAAAGCGATCAAAAAAATCATGCATGCAATGCCCAGTAGGGAATCCCCTAAAGTTATTTTATTTATATGTAGATATAGTTTATAAGCCCAGTCGATTATTCCTTGACTATTATATTTAATACCCAAAAGACCTTTCAGTTGTGCCATTATAATTATTACAGAGGTAGCTGAGGTAAATCCTGATACAACAGGAACTGATATAAAATCTACCAAAAACCCTGTAAAAGATTAAACCCTTAAGTAGAAAATTTAGAGTAGTAAAATCTAGTGTATACTTACCAAGTCTTAAGATTCCCATGATGAGCTCCACACATCCAGAAAGGAAGCAAAGCAAAATAACAAATTCAATTGGTAAATCACGACATACAGAGAGTGTCAGAAGTGCCATTAAGCTTGTAGGACCTATAGAAACTTCTTTAATTGTTCCAAAAAACACATAAATAAAAGAACCAATAAATGCGGAGTATAGACCATACTGAGCTGGTAAATTAGCAAGAGTTGCGTAAGCCATAGACTGAGGCATCATAGTTAAGCCCAATGTTATTCCAGCTATAACATCCGATACTGCATCCAACTTAGTATATTGTGGTAACCATTGGAGAATATGAATTCTCTTGAAAATAATTTCTTTGAATCGTTTGCATTTTCTTTTGCCATTATCACCGTTTTCCACTGCATTATAAAAACAGAACTCTTTATTAATAACAGTTACTTGACTTATCTAAGGGTTTGTGATAGTACTTACTTTTGAAAGCTTCGGAATGCTTACTGCGTAAAGTATCGCATTCACACTCGAATTACTTCTTATAAAAACGTAAATAGAATATAGGCCTAGATTTATGATGTAATTATGAAATATGTTTGTTTGATGTGAGTTCATTTTAATAACGAAAAATGAATAAAGAAATCTTTGGCAAACAAGATAATAACGTATCAGACAACTAATATTTAAAGTAGAATAAATTATAAAAAAGACTACAATACACATAAGTATTAACCAGCCCTAATAACGAATTCGGTCATTTAAATACATTATCATGGATCGTGATACGAAAATATGCAACATACGTACGTAAGTACATATTGATAATAAAAATTTTGTAAAAGACAAATAGTATAGAAAAATACATTACTCAATTCAACCGTAATATACCGAGGTTATTACAATAGTAATGTATATAATGCTTGTGTTTATGGCCATGACTTAGAAGAGAAGTGATAATAAAAACAAATAAACATTTGGTACCTTTAATTCAAATCAATCACCACATTAACAAGAAAATAAAACAAAAAATTATTTTTTTTTTGGTATAAACCATTACAAATATCCTAATATACATATATGTACAATTCATTTACAATAAACTATTTACATGCCATATTTACAAATATTAATGGGGGTAAAATACAACAAATATACATATATTTTTTATATTACAATTATGGCGTACAGCGAAAAATTAAAGCCAAAATGGAGTAAAAAGTAAGTAACTATTATNAAGGATATGTAACTGTAAAAGATAAGTCTCATTTAAATTAGTGTCTTTTTTATTTATTGTATCAATTAGTATTTTTATCTATGTAGCTCTTATCTTGATAAACTCCTCTGACTATGGGCGAAACGTCTGTTATTGGTTTTTTAAGTATAAAAATTTTACCCCATTTTCACTTTGATTCTTTGACTTCGTAGAATAAGGGTAAGAAATGAAAACCGTAGATACGCACACACACATATGTATTTTTTTTGTGTTTTTTTTTTATTAAAAGATAAAGACAAAAATCCTGGAACTTAACTAGTCTACATTCAATATCTGTTTTTCCAAATAAGACAACCATAATGTATGTATATAACACTAATAATAGAACTGCCATTTTTGTAGGAAAGCAATAAAACTGACTTAAGAAACATTTGCAATTTATTACTTTAGTACATTTGTAGCTTAGGTTCAGGTTATAATACTCCCCATACTTACTGCCCTATGAACTTTTTTATCCAATTCCACAAACACACACACATACACACATGTATCTACACACCAACTATACTATTTTCTATGTTTCTATTTTTATTTTAATTCTTGGTAAGATTATTATAAGTGAAGGGTAAATAATTTGTACATCTATCAGTCATTTAGACATAATATTTAATTCAGTCAGACAATAAAAATTGACAAATTATCATATGTTGAGAAATGAGATTATATTTTGGCCAACACAATTTTATAGTCTTGGGTAATAGAATTCATTAGTCAGTCATTGTTGATAAAAAATTATCGTTATTATTAACTAGTAAGGCAGTTTATCATTTAACGACTTTTTCCAAACTGCATTTTTTTTTTAATGACTTACTTTATTCAATATGCCGGTACTTAATTGCATACACGTATTCCAGGTACTTATATTCAGTGGAGCAAATTAAAACATTAACTAAGTAATTGTAATTTTGTTCCATTGCGTATAAATATCGATTTACTTGTTTGATATTGTCTTTATTATCTACCTTTTTTATTCTTATTCCAATATTTTTCTTCAAAATTTCTTAAATGCACTTGCGTATCGAGATAAAATTTAATAAATAAGATAGAATTTGGCAAGTCTAAGACTACGGTAAAAGTAAAATTACACATTTAAAGCAAGTCTGAGGTAAATTTTAAAAAAATGTCTTTAAAAATGAATAAATAATAATAACGAAAAATCAACTATACAAATTAGCATAAGTATTATTTAGTCTACAAAAAAAGTTTGCGGATGCTTGCTTAGGTTGTGTAAAGATGTCTAAAATTAGTTTTGTGCAACTCTTCAAATATAATATTAACATTTTCTTACAGTCTTTAAGCTATAGGAAATTAAAAATCCTGTCTAAAGAAAGAATGCTCTTAGGGTCTATCCATAAACCATAGACTCTATTTTTAGCTTTGACCTTTTTGATCCACTTGATCTCCCATGGTTTTATACTTACACTCCCCCCCCCCACAAGAACAACGCGGTCTATAACATTTTTGAAATCAAATTTTCATGGAAATCCAGTACATATGTAGGAGTTAAACTGTAAATCATATTTAGTATTTTCGACTAATTAATGCAGGTAATAGACATTGATTCCCATCTTTGATAAAGCTGATAATTGACGGCAAGAATACAAAAAAAAATTTTTTTTTTAACAATAAAAAACCACGTTGCTCAAGTATCAATGCCACATAATTCAGAATAGCCTTTTTTCAGGCCCCATTCCCTCACAGAATCATAAGGTTAATAACTAGCCCTTTTCACTAGTTTTTGAAGCTTTCTAAGGCTAATATAAACTTTATTACGTGTGTCTAAAAATATTTTGATATTTTCTATTTTCATCGACTATTTCGTACTTTTTGAAATATAAAAGTACAATTAAAATTTTCTAAATTATCTTACTGTTACTAAAATGATATAAATGGATAACAATGCATTTTAAAAGTACACATGTGTATACCTAAATGTGCCATTTCATAATGTTATTCAATTACTCTTGCAAAATGGTCGTTCTTAAAACGTTAAAAAATAAAATTACCTTTTTTAATGCAAAAATATGCATAAGGAAAACGTATTTTCAAAAAAATGATATTTTCTAATATTGCAGTGTTGATTTTTTTTCCATAATATCAGACACTAACCTGATAATTACTAAAAAGTTTAAAATTTCCTAACATTGTTAAGCATTTATACCCTTCTATAATTAATTCGCCATATTTTAATAGATAAAAAATCTAATAAACATATTTGTAGTTAAAATTGATGAGCCCCAATAAGATTCATAACTTCTTCGTACGACAGCCAAAAAGTTAGAGACCATGGGGCCATTCTAATCCATATTGGAAAGAATCCCTTATAAAGAGCAAAAAAACCCTCGTTCCTTATGGTTTTTTGAAGGCAATCGAAAGATGATTTGTATAATAAACCCCTTAAAAATAATAATAGCAACAATAAATGATACTGGCTTTCACATAGTAAAAAAATATACTTTTATTCTTTATTTTTAAATGTTAATGTCAGTAACTTATTTCAGCTATTAATTTTTCATAGTTTGTTTTGTTTTTATTCATTTAATAAACATAAAAATAGTTTTTCTATTGTTTGGTGCCATTGCAAAAGAAGGATGTAAATTAATAACAATTGTAAAGGTATTCGATAACAAAAAAGTAAACTTTAATATACAATTTTAAATAGAAGGTAAAGCAATTTTACATTTAAATTTCTAATTAAATTAATTACTTAAGTAGTTTACTCGTATAATAAATTCTGTTGATTTTGAAATTTATTCCATTAGAAAATAAAGTAAGTGATATCTCTATGGCATAAACGATTTTTGACTGTTTAAAAATTAATAAAAAATAAAATTAAAAAAAAAAAACTGACCTGCCCTCTTTATCTAACTGCTGATTCATGACACGCGTCTTGACAACGTCCGCGGGGGTTCCCATGCACGCACCCACAAATCCAGCGCAAATACTTGACATGACATGGGTCAAGTGATTATCTTCCAATGAAGTGTTGCGGAGTATGAAACGTTTAGCAGAATCGTATGTCGTCAGATCACCTAAATTGACTAAAGCGGCTCTTTGTACATTTGGTATGGAACCTTAAATAAATAATAAAAATAACAAACAAGAAATTCTTTGTAAAATTATTAGCACCTTTCCATAATCCTCGATATCCAGAAGCCTTCACCACTTTCGTAAAAGCATCGAAAAACCCATGAACTCTCGGGGGAAGTCCCAATAAACGTCTCTTCCCTTCCATTTGAAGCTGAACTTTAATAAGATCAGTAGGACTAGCTATAAACTGGGCAAAGGCCCCCGCAGTAGTACCACCTAAATATGCAGACAAAAAAGAAATTAATAACGACAAAAAATAGTAATAACTGACTAATTCTTACATAATGCTGATTTCCAAATTGAAAAATATTCTCCTGGTCTGTTAACGAAAAGTTCATCCCTTAGAGTTTTGTAAGTAACAATTCGCGTACCAGAGTACACCATATGTCTTAACATACCAGCTGATATGCCTTGCCATAATTTTATTAAACCTTCTTCTTTAATAATGCCAATTGCAGTTCCAAACATACCCCGATAAGGGGCCTACAACAATTTGTATACTGAAACAATCGCACTGACTTTTAAACGATTGTCATTTTTTTATTAAAATATTGTTAAAAAAATATTTTTCTTCAAAATTTCTTAAATGCACTTGCGTATCGAGATAAAATTTAATAAATAAGATAGAATTTGGCAAGTCTAAGACTACGGTAAAAGTAAAATTACACATTTAAAGCAAGTCTGAGGTAAATTTTAAAAAAATGTCTTTAAAAATGAATAAATAATAATAACGAAAAATCAACTATACAAATTAGCATAAGTATTATTTAGTCTACAAAAAAAGTTTGCGGATGCTTGCTTAGGTTGTGTAAAGATGTCTAAAATTAGTTTTGTGCAACTCTTCAAATATAATATTAACATTTTCTTACAGTCTTTAAGCTATAGGAAATTAAAAATCCTGTCTAAAGAAAGAATGCTCTTAGGGTCTATCCATAAACCATAGGCTCTATTTTTAGCTTTGACCTTTTTGATCCACTTGATCTCCCATGGTTTTATACTTACACTCCCCCCCCCCACAAGAACAACGCGGTCTATAACATTTTTGAAATCAAATTTTCATGGAAATCCAGTACATATGTAGGAGTTAAACTGTAAATCATATTTAGTATTTTCGACTTATTAATGCAGGTAATAGACATTGATTCCCATCTTTGATAAAGCTGATAATTGACGGCAAGAATACAAAAAAAAATTTTTTTTTTAACAATAAAAAACCACGTTGCTCAAGTATCAATGCCACATAATTCAGAATAGCCTTTTTTCAGGCCCCATTCCCTCACAGAATCATAAGGTTAATAACTAGCCCTTTTCACTAGTTTTTGAAGCTTTCTAAGGCTAATATAAACTTTATTACGTGTGTCTAAAAATATTTTGATATTTTTTATTTTCATCTACTATTTCGTACTTTTTGAAATATAAAAGTACAATTAAAATTTTCTAAATTATCTTACTGTTACTAAAATGATATAAATGGATAACAATGCATTTTAAAAGTACACATGNAATTTATCAAAAAAAAAATTAAGTAATCGTTACGCAACAAAAGTTGTAAGCTTGGCAACAACACGAACTTTAACCTCCAATACTATAATTTATTATTTTGCCTCCATGTGCTAACTAAATAAAGAATCAATTTACTTAGAATAATTTCTCACCATCTAAGTTTAATATCATTGTAATCTTCTATCAAAATAACAAAAGAATAAATCACTAATCATAGGAATGTCACATTATTGTAGATCATTCATTCTTGGCAACATTGTCTATTGTCATACTATGCCTATTTGGTATTGGTAATTGGTACACTTCGCGCAAAAGATGCCGATATACTGAAAGCCCCAGTGCCCAGTTCAATTATCGAAGGAGAAATTAAAAATAATATATTCAAATAGTAACAATGATAATTTGTAAATCGTCATGTTATTGATTTCGCATTTGCAACTGCTGTTACGTTTCTTTAATGACACCGGTAAAAATAAATAACAATTCGTGTAGTCGAAAGTACATATACACTTCCACAAGCGTAACTCAGATTTCCCATAAAGTTTTTCAAAATACAAATACATGCAGTAAATGTACATAATTTATTTAAAAAATTAAGTCAAATAAACAAAAAATTAGAATAAATTTGTTTTTGATTTATCAATAAACTAGTAACGTCTATATTATTTAATTCTCATTTTTTTTCTTATATTTTAATTAAATGCAAAACTAAAGACAGGATAAGGTCAAAAAAGAGCTAAATTATTAAATTAACACCAACGTTTCGCGTTTCGACTATTGGTGTAAATTTTATCAAGGTAGATGTTCCTTTAAGTCAATGGTTCTCTTCCTACATAGCAAAAATGAAACAGAAACTCTTTTTTTGCCTTTATTCTAGATTTGATTTTACAATTTTAAGGTTTTTAGTTTTTACTTAACTGCGGTTATTTTGTCCAATTAAACATTTTTTAGAACATTGCTTTTGGTGCAGTTTTGGAGCTGACATTTTTATTAACTCCTATAAATTAAAAAATATATACCTAACTATAGAAAAGAACTTATAATTTGTAATAGCTGTTAAACATAGTAATTAACATTACAATTTATCTATCATTAACTCGTTTGGAAATCCTTCGTTACGCCACTGCAATATTCCTACGCAAACATTTTGACTTCGAATAGTGTATGGTATATTGAATATTAGTGTGGTATGGTGGGAGTGTACTCTGTATGGTGATGGCAATGAAATTGACGTTCCAAAAGAAATATTAAAAATTTAATGCAATTCAGCTAAATTATTAACTTTAATTTGTATTGCAACAGCACATACTGGTCATTTCCCAGTTTTTTAGTTTAGAAAGTGACGAGTGAACAATCTAGTGGTTATTTGAGACTTTAGATATCTTAGGAATTTCCTAAAGTAGTGGTGAGGATAAAATGTATTTTTATTGACGTCTTTTGTGTTTATCGTATAATTTGACTTTTGAAATTGCACGTTTGTGTAACAATTGACAATCAGAAAAATTTGAATTTCAACAATGGAAGCAATAGCCAAGCACGAATTCAATGCGACCGCCGAAGATGAACTTAGTTTTAAGAGATCACAAGTTCTCAAGGTAAGTGTCCAGTAGTTTCACACTGACCTGTCTTGTAGAGTTCATTAGTTTTTTGTCTAAGTAGAGTCGTAATGTTTCAGATTCTTAATATGGAAGATGATATGAATTGGTACAGGGCTGAATTAGATGGCAAAGAAGGACTGATACCTAGTAACTATATAGAAATGAAAAATCACAAGTAAGTTGCTAAAAAGTAACTGTATTTGAATATTTTTTTATATTAATCACACGTTTTTTAACTTTTTTGTTTAACCATATGTAATAATGTAGGTAATTATGTGTTCTTAATAATTATATAGCTTAATCATTTAAATGGCAGCGTCCTTATATGTTGTCCTGTGTTTATTTAGATGGTTATGTCAAGATAATTTTAATTTTTTTAAACATTAAGAAATCCGTTACTTCTGTCATGTGCAACTCAGAATATTTTTGCCTCTGTTATTAAATTAAATGATTTACTGAAAAACTTTATTTTCAGCTGGTACTATGGTAGGATAACTAGGGCGGATGCAGAAAAGTTATTAATGAATAAACATGAAGGAGCCTTTTTAATTAGAATTAGTGAGTCATCACCAGGGGACTTTTCATTATCAGTGAAGTAAGTTAAATATTCAAAATCCTATTTCAATAAAGTAAACTACTTACAATTAGAAAATTCAGATAGTCACATGTATCAGTAAACATTGACCAATATATCTGTTAGATTGTTAAGTTGTAATTTGTTTTAAAAGATAATTTATGTAGTAATAGATTAATTCATATTTTTATTACAACTTTGCTGAATTATAAGCCTGTATTTATGTAGACATATATGAACTCAATTTAATTTTTTTTTTCCATTTCAAATCCCAATTTCACCTCATTAGACTTTGAATTTTGAGAAATACCTGTTTAATGTTTTTCTATATTACATAAGGAAGATTTTACCTAAATTGTATAGTTTTAAGATCAGTGGCTTTGTCTGGGCTTTAATACATAGCCCATCACTCAGTTTTCCCTTTTACAGCAAGTACCAATTTCATATTTGGTTATAAAATGTTTTTTTATACTCTCAGCCTACTATGTAGATTTTCTTTTATTGTATTACTCATTCTGTAAAAATTGACTCCTTAATTCTGGTTCTCTCATTTATTAAACAATTCTACCTACTTTTTTTCCATACAAATTTTGAACTTCCATTTCACCTTGCACATTGTATTAGGAGGGTTTTCTTCAAATTTTGCATTTTTGAGATGGATAGCAATTTAGACTGAGCGTTAATATAGTGTAATACTTAAGTCATATTTCGTTTCATAAATAGATTTATTTCAGGTGTTCTGATGGTGTACAGCATTTTAAAGTTCTTAGGGATGCACAGGGGAAATTTTTCTTATGGGTCGTTAAGTTTAATTCACTAAATGAACTTGTAGAATATCATCGCACCGCTTCAGTCTCAAGGTCACAAGATGTTAAATTACGGGATATGGTTACTGAAGAAGTAAGTTGTACTTTCCTGCTACACAAAATTCAATAATTATTTTAAAATGATTTTCTGACAGTTTTTATGTTTACATAATTTATTTTGAATGTTTACATGATAAATAACAATTCGTGTAGTCGAAAGTACATATACACTTCCACAAGCGTAACTCAGATTTCCCATAAAGTTTTTCAAAATACAAATACATGCAGTAAATGTACATAATTTATTTTGAATGTTTACATGAGTCATCTATTGTATATAAAAACAATAATGAATACGTTTTGATTTTGCTACTATTGTTAAATCATTTTCCGAGAATGTTATTAATCATTTGTGTTACTAAAGCTTTATTAATGTCAACAATTGATAATACAAAAATTTTAATGACATAGTTTAATTTACCAAAACTATTAATTTTTTGCTGTACATTAGGCAATAAAAATATAACTAAAGTTGCATTGAAATGCAACAACAATAAAAAACATGTTTTTTCAGGTTTTTTGAAGTTATGATAACAATATATATTTTTCTAATTATGTAGACGATAGTTAAGAAATATGATAAAGGTTATAATATATATTTTTTCTCATAAATAGTGCGATAAATAAAATTTAACACTAATATGCTGTGATTACAAGAAAGAAATGGGGGAAGCAGTTATGGGGGGGGGGGGCTAAAGTCATACAACAAGTTGGATAGATTTACATGTCTGTTAAATTTTGTTTTAGTGCTTAGTGCAGGCCTTATACGATTTTAAACCTCAAGAACCAGGTGAATTGGAGTTTAAACGTGGTGACGTTATCACAGTAACAGATCGCACTGACCAGCACTGGTGGAACGGAGAGATTGGACATAGGCGTGGCCTTTTCCCGGCCACTTACGTAACACCTTATCACACATAATTTTGCTCATTTCGTTCTAAGTCCTATGAAATTATTTTTGTTGTAAATTTTATTAACTTTTCTCCCCCTAAAACAATGTTTGAGTGTAATCAAAAACGAAAGAAAATAACAGGCCTAATATGAGCATGAAGTATAGAAGTAACTACGAAAGACCTCCGATGGTCTTTGTAACAGAAAAATGTTATTTTAGCCAATTTTATCCATACATGCAAAGACATATTGGAGTGGTTGAACTTGTCATACTTTTTCAGTGTACGTGGAGTATCTTTTTTTTTATTTTAAGGGAGGTAATGAGCACTGTAGGATATTATTAGGTGCTTTGATTTATTTTTGTATGGACGTGAAGTAAAAACTACGCTAAAAAAACTATTTTAATACGAATTGAAAACTTGATGTATTGAATGTAAGAAAAATGGTATTACAACGCACAGAAAGTTACGTTTCAATTGAATTGACGAATGTGGGTAATATTTTAATTGGAAAGGAGGAATTTTCAATTCAATAAAACAATTTTAATAACTAATTATATTTTCAATGCCACTTCTACTAAGTACGAAGCTGGATATCTTATTTAAATCATTTAATTGTATCGTTTTAATCAGAAAGAAATAAAAGAACAGAGCAGGCCAACTTTATGTTAGTGTTTGAGTGACATTAGAAGTTTGGAATAGATAACATTTTCAACTCCAGTGCGTGCTCTATTCTTATATTTCTCTATTTTGTGTTTTTAATCAAACAATGGATTCCTCCTATGCAAATGTTGTATTCCCTCGTGTACAATGCAAATTGGATTTTTTTCTCAGCATGAATATTTCTGCTGTATACCATGATGATTCAGTTTTCTTTCGTATGCAACTTAATAGTGCCTAATAAATGTCAATGTATTTTCTTCTATTTTACTATAGATCTTCGTTAGATTTACTAATTTATTATAAACCTATTTGGTTGCATTATTAGAAATATAACAGTTTACATTGCACACACACCTCATATTTTTTTCGTGGTGCATTATTTCTAATAAATGTGTCCATTTTTAAATTGGGAATTATGATTTTATAATTAAATTTACGCATTTTATGTAATAAAAAAAATTAACTATGTATTTTGCAAAACCATCATAATTTGTATATGCCAATCAGAATAAAAATGGTTATGTTACTACAATAATAATAATAATCTTAATTGAGAAGTAAGTAAAGAAATGTAGTGTGTTTCATGTTGGAAGTGAAATTTCTATATGTTGTCCTGTCTCATTCAAACTCATTTATCTCTCACTCCATTTTAAAATTATATGCATTCTCCTCTCCACATCATTCAGTGTTTCACTTTGAATTCCGTGACGATTTTTTCCTATTCCTTCTTTCACCTTATTACATGATAGAAATTTCACTTCAGTAAGTACTACATTTCTCAAACAACTGTAATGAATAAAAGTAAAAAATAAAACGATAAATTAGGACAATTCACTATCAAACGCAACTGTAAGCATTAATAACTATTTTTCAATTGTTAAGGCGGGTTGTTTGGCACGGGTTTTTTTACGTGTAACCTGTTAATTAAAGAAATGTGGATTTTTGTCAAATTTTGTGTACTAATCTTAAACATATCTATGAAGACTCTAATAACATTTCTTTGATCTAAAACAAAAGTTCGTTATGTTTTAATGTAAAAAGAAAAATAATANTAACATTGGATCTTATTGACAAGTAAATGTGTTAAATTCAAAATTAATTTTTTGTGTTTTATGTTTAATATTTCTTTTGTAGCATTCCCGGACAACTTACAGATAGACGAACAATGTTAGGTGAATTAAATTGGATCTTTACCGCAATTACAGATACTATTGCGTGGAATACTTTACCAAAAGGTTTGTTGTAATGTTGTTTTGTCATTTTTATAATTTTTTGCTGATACCCTTAATGATTTTTATCTGTATAGTATTTAATACCTTTCTGCGCTTATTATGTTTTAATTAATAAAGGAAGTTTTTATTTGTGACTTTTCGACTATATTATACGGATTTTGTATATTTTTTTCAGAGTTATTTCAGAAACTTTTTAGACAGGATCTCCTGGTAGCTAGTTTATTCAGAAACTTTCTATTAGCTGAAAGAGTAATGCGATCGTATGATTGCACTCCAGTGAGTTCACCTGCACTTCCACCTACTTATCAGCACCCCATGTGGCAGGCTTGGGATTTAGCACTTGATCTCAGTCTTGGTCAACTACCTCGCATTATAAACGATAATGAACCATTTGAACATTTGCCATTTTTCGAAGAACAACTGACTGCCTTCCAAGTGTGGCTTGAATTAGGTAAATTATGAAAAACAAAATTACTGTAAACACACTGTACATTATTAATTGAAAATTGTTTTCAACTTGTTCCTTTGTATCTCAAATAAGTACATTATTTATAGGTTCAGAAGAAAGAAGTCCACCAGAGCAACTACCAATAGTTCTGCAAGTTCTTTTAAGTCAAATTCACAGAATGAGAGCTTTAGAATTGTTAGGGAAGTTTCTGGATTTTGGTCCTTGGGCTGTGAACTTAGCTTTGTCAGTAGGAATATTTCCGTATGTTTTAAAACTTTTGCAAAGTTGCGCAAAAGAGTTGCGACCTCTTTTGGTCTTTATTTGGGCTAAAATATTAGCTGTCGACAATGTAAGTACTCTTAGGATCTTTAGTCTGCAGACGAATTAATATTAGCTCTTCTTCTTTAGACTTGTCAAACAGATTTGGTCAGGGAACGATATCATAATTATTTCCTGTCGGTTTTACAGGATACTACAGTAACAGTAAGTATTTCTCTTCTGCTTCCATTTTTTGGCTTCTTATTTATTATTTAAGTATGTGTTGTTCTAAAAAGACATATTAATGCTGTCATATGAAGTTTAATAAATGCTAACATTTAATTGTAACTTACAGGCTGAACATCGTACCCAGGCTGCTTTTGTATTGGCATGCATAGTGAATGACTATAGGGAAGGACAAGAAGCTGCCTTACAAGGATCGCTGGTCAGTATATGCCTGGAACAGTTGTCTGATCCTAATCCTCAGTTGCGTCAATGGGTAGCGATTTGCCTAGGCAGATTGTGGGACCATTATGAAAAAGCCAGATGGACTGGTGTCAGAGACATAGCTCATGAAAAACTGTATACTCTCTTACAAGATCCTTGTCCATTAGAATTTTAAATAAAAATATTTCCAATCAAACAGTTTGCAGTTTCCAGTAATTATAATAAACATTAATTTAGCATAGGCTTTAGAAAACCTGGCATTACTTCAAATACGTTTATAGTTCTTGTACATACTAACGTAAAATGCATTTTATGAAAGCTATAATGCAAATACACATTTTAAACTTTAGTTTTTGCCTTTTTTTTAGTCATATAAGGGGGTGGTGAATATGATTTTTTTGTAGCAAAGAATGCGTACACAAAAGTGTTATCAGTGACGACCATTTAGATTAAAATTTCTTTCACCTCTGCTGGATAATAGCGAGATTCATTTCTTTCGCAAAATAAATATAATTTTTGTTATCTTTGTCTTATCTTAAATGAAGTTGAGTGTAAAAAGGTAAGTACAATATACAAAATGTATAGAATGATAAACTTTAATGTTTTTGAGTTTGCAGCAGATATAGGCCTATGTACTTTTCAGTGTGGACTTTATTTTTGATTGACTCTTGTATATATAAACAAATATAAATTGAACGATCCCTGTATATCATACAGATCACTTCTGGATTTTTGGTTCGAATTAAATTTAAACTGTTAATTATTATGATAATTATTAGTTATCTTAAAGGTGTTGGAAACATTTGATATTGAGATCATATTTATTATTTCTTAGTTTTTTATTTATTAACAAATTTGCTTTATTTTGGTTCTGCACTTTAGGTTGGTTCTATTGCATAGACAAGTTCTATTGCGTTCTTTAAAAATGGATGTTATGTATTATGACATGTGTCATTTATTATTTACGAATTAGTGTAAAAGATTTTACAGAAAATTTATAATTTCTGATGAATTTTATAAGTGAATAGTGAAAGAAAATTGTTGTTCTCCTTCATGGTTTAGTGAAGTGTAATAAAAATGAGTGACAAGCTTTCTAATGGCTACATTGATAAAATGAAAGAAGATGCAAAAATTAGAGATACGGATTTGCCTTTAAGTTTTAATGAAAAGAGGCATGTAGAGAATATTGAAGGAATAGCATGTTTAACTCAGACATGGCGAATGAAGGAACGAGTAAGTAATTGATCTATTCATCTACTACGTATGTTTTTAATTTATTTATACAAATGCTATAACCTCACACTTTGTATGCAGATGAAAACAGTCAGCGTGGCGCTTGTTTTGTGCTTAAATGTAGGCGTTGATCCACCAGATGTAGTCAAAACACAACCCTGTGCTAGATTGGAATGTTGGATAGGTACATATTTTATCATTACCTCCTACCTATAGTAATTTAACATTTTCAAAGATCCATTGTCTATGTCACCATCTAAGGCAGTAGAAGCCATTGGTTCTAATCTTCAGAAGCAATATGAAAGGTGGCAACCAAGGGCTAGGTATAAGCAATCATTAGATCCCACAGCAGAAGAGGTTAAAAAGTTATGTACATCTTTAAGGAGAAATGCTAAAGAAGAAAGAGTTTTGTTTCATTACAATGGTCACGGAGTTCCTAAGCCAACAACTAATGGGGAAATTTGGGTCTTTAATAGGGTATTTAACAATGTATACTTTCTTTAAATTATTAATATGCTATAAGCAGTATAATTTAGAAATGGAATTTGATTATTGTTGTAGGCTTATACTCAATACATCCCCTTATCAATATATGATTTGCAATCATGGATGGGAGCACCATCCATTTATGTTTATGATTGTTCAAATGCAGGAATTATTGTGGATTCTTTTAAACAGTTTGCCATTCAACATCAAAATGAATATGAGGTATGTTTAACATTAATAAAAAAAAAAGAGTAAAAGAAAAAGTATATCAATTCTTAATTTGTCTATTTTGTAATTATTTTGAAAACTGTTTCTCTTCCTCTACAAATTTAGGCAGCTAATCAAGGCAGGGGTTCTTCTCCTTCACCTCCATCCTTCCGCAGCTGTATCCAACTAGCAGCATGCAATGCAACTCAAGTATTACCAATGAATCCTGACCTACCTGCAGATTTATTTACCAGTTGTTTGACCACGCCTATAAAAATAGCTTTACGTTGGTTCATCATGAAGTACACCTCAAAACTTGTTCCTCAAGTAACATTGGATCTTATTGACAAGTAAATGTGTTAAATTCAAAATTAATTTTTTGTGTTTTATGTTTAATATTTCTTTTGTAGCATTCCCGGACAACTTACAGATAGACGAACAATGTTAGGTGAATTAAATTGGATCTTTACCGCAATTACAGATACTATTGCGTGGAATACTTTACCAAAAGGTTTGTTGTAATGTTGTTTTGTCATTTTTATAATTTTTTGCTGATACCCTTAATGATTTTTATCTGTATAGTATTTAATACCTTTCTGCGCTTATTATGTTTTAATTAATAAAGGAAGTTTTTATTTGTGACTTTTCGACTATATTATACGGATTTTGTATATTTTTTTCAGAGTTATTTCAGAAACTTTTTAGACAGGATCTCCTGGTAGCTAGTTTATTCAGAAACTTTCTATTAGCTGAAAGAGTAATGCGATCGTATGATTGCACTCCAGTGAGTTCACCTGCACTTCCACCTACTTATCAGCACCCCATGTGGCAGGCTTGGGATTTAGCACTTGATCTCAGTCTTGGTCAACTACCTCGCATTATAAACGATAATGAACCATTTGAACATTTGCCATTTTTCGAAGAACAACTGACTGCCTTCCAAGTGTGGCTTGAATTAGGTAAATTATGAAAAACAAAATTACTGTAAACACACTGTACATTATTAATTGAAAATTGTTTTCAACTTGTTCCTTTGTATCTCAAATAAGTACATTATTTATAGGTTCAGAAGAAAGAAGTCCACCAGAGCAACTACCAATAGTTCTGCAAGTTCTTTTAAGTCAAATTCACAGAATGAGAGCTTTAGAATTGTTAGGGAAGTTTCTGGATTTTGGTCCTTGGGCTGTGAACTTAGCTTTGTCAGTAGGAATATTTCCGTATGTTTTAAAACTTTTGCAAAGTTGCGCAAAAGAGTTGCGACCTCTTTTGGTCTTTATTTGGGCTAAAATATTAGCTGTCGACAATGTAAGTACTCTTAGGATCTTTAGTCTGCAGACGAATTAATATTAGCTCTTCTTCTTTAGACTTGTCAAACAGATTTGGTCAGGGAACGATATCATAATTATTTCCTGTCGGTTTTACAGGATACTACAGTAACAGTAAGTATTTCTCTTCTGCTTCCATTTTTTGGCTTCTTATTTATTATTTAAGTATGTGTTGTTCTAAAAAGACATATTAATGCTGTCATATGAAGTTTAATAAATGCTAACATTTAATTGTAACTTACAGGCTGAACATCGTACCCAGGCTGCTTTTGTATTGGCATGCATAGTGAATGACTATAGGGAAGGACAAGAAGCTGCCTTACAAGGATCGCTGGTCAGTATATGCCTGGAACAGTTGTCTGATCCTAATCCTCAGTTGCGTCAATGGGTAGCGATTTGCCTAGGCAGATTGTGGGACCATTATGAAAAAGCCAGATGGACTGGTGTCAGAGACATAGCTCATGAAAAACTGTATACTCTCTTACAAGATCCTTGTCCCGAGGTAAAATTTTTATTTATTATATTTTTGTCATAAAAATTTACTTATTTAAATTAAACAGGACCTTTATTTACATTAAAAATAATAGTAATAGTAGTAGTACTTATAGATTTTCGCAAGTTGTACCTTTTACCAAAAATAAAAATAATACATTAGAATTTTTAACATTGACTTTTTTCTTCTATTGTTGGATTTTAGGTTCGAGCAGCTGTCGTGTATGCTTTGGGCACTTTTATAAATTCGGTTTCGGAACGTTCTGATCACGCCAATAATATCGATCACTCGGTAGTGATGACGTTGTTAAATACTGTCAGTGTCGACATGAGTACTTTGGTACGGAAAGAACTTGTAGTCGCACTACAATGGGTAGTACTCGCGTTCGAAAACGTGTTTTGCAACGTTGCCGCACAAGAAAATATGACGGTAATCACAAGTGTGACGGGAGGGGGCGACAGTACTCCTCTCAAAAGGACCGGAAGTCGGTGAGTCATTTTTAAATACACATTTTGCTATTTATCATTTTAATTAACTCAGTAAGTCTTCAATAATCATCAAAATAGTGACATTGTGTTCGTTTAACATTAATTTTATGTATTTATCATTTTCATTAACTCAGTAGGTGTTCAGTTTGAAACAGTAACTTTGTGTACCATACATGTACACACATAAATGAGTGTATGTTGCGTTAGAACACCTAAAATAAAGTTGACATTTCCCAAAACATTTGCCTCTTATCGTTAGTCTAGCAAGTATACAAGAAGTATCTGTGGTGGTAGAATACTCCCTATTACGCGGACAGCCCAGATTCTATTCCAAATTAAATTGACTCAATTGGTTGAATTTCGACCACAAACCATTTCTAATTAATACTATTATGTGACTCGTCTTGTTGCGTTTTTCATAGTAGAAAAGTAAAATTGCTAAAACCTATTTAATAAAATTACATGATTACAACAGTGGTATGTAAACCAAAAAAAGAATAATAATTTAATTACTGGGGTTTTACATTGATCGAACAATAGAGGAAATTTTTATTTAAAACACTTTTAAATGAAAGACAAAAGGTGGCCATTTAAAAATGAGTATTATTTTATGGTAGTCCATCCTTTCCCTTGAAATAAAAATAAATCACTGAAAGGTGTATACATCTATTAAAGTGGGTACTATTCCTTTACAATTACTTTACATTTTACTTTATTTACTTTTTCAAATTATTATTAAGAGCGATGTTTTGAGTGATTCCCCTTTCCTTTACTCTTGTAGTAATTGTCATACTAATTTTCACTCATATTTTGCCCTTTAAATGCGTTATATTTTATGGACGGTACCAAAGAGTCGAGTAATTTTTTTAATTTCGAAAATTATATTATTTATAATTGATAAGAAGCAGGACTTTCTATCGAAGAATTTATTTGCTAACGTTATATCATAATTCTGCAAGCCCACATCTCGTCGGATGTGAAGTAACATGTATACCACTGTTTCGCACATCTCGTGTAGCATCTCGACATCATTCTATCCCGAGTGTTGACGTAATAAGTAGGTACGTTACAGGTAAAGAAGTTTCATAGCGACTGTACCTAGTCTGCAGTCGGTTATACATACTAATGACATTTGTATCATTATCGTTATTTTATTTTGTATTTTAAATAATCAAAAAATAGTCGATTTTTATTAAACAGAAAGTTTAGTACATACTTAATAAAATATATCACGTTGAATGATAAAATACTAGGAATTATTATAAACGGTTTTATATAATAGAACGGATAATGAGCCCAGTGATAAAATAAAGAGAGTCGCCTCCAGTTCTTCAATATACAGTTTGAGTCCTTCGTTAATGCATCACAGTCATTCGGGAAGTCTGGGCACGTTACCAAGTGTCGCTTATGGTTCGGTTTATATGAAAATATGGAGGGGTCTTTGTAATTTAGAAATGGACCCCGATCCACAAGTCGCCAAAATGTGTTCGATTATTACAGTTTACGTGAGGAAGCAAATTAAGGTCAGTAGTTGATTATTTGAATTAAATTTGTCGAGTTGGTGGAAATGTTAGAAAAACTATTGCTTTATTATTTTCTTTTAGACTATATCACAACAAACTAAAGAAACTAACGAAAAAAATGATAGGATATGTTCTAGTCTGAGCTTACCCCCTAGTCCGAATAGAAACACTTATTTAGCAGGTGATAGTCCTCCAACTTTACATCCCAACACTGACCTACAACGGTTTGCAACAAGGTAAATATTTTATAGTACCTACAGTACTGCATAAGATTAGAAATTAATATACTACAGTAATTTGACTTCTTTTTTTCTAGTAGGTCAGCCATGTCTGTCCGTGCAAGAAAGTTGCTTCAACCAAATACTATCAGTGAAGAAAACGACGTTCTTGACCACAGTACGAAGAAAAGTCCTCTAGTCACTACTAGCTATGTGTCGTGGGCGAGTAAATTTTTTGCCCGACCAATTCTTAAGAAAAAGAACGAAGAAGAAGATGTTGAATCATTAACTTACTACGAAAAGCATTGGCGATTGGAAAGGTGAACGAAAAAAGTTCTTTTGGTGCCATTTTTAATCGTACGATTTTTTTGTAGGAATGCTAGGGTTCGTAAAGAGGCGGAAGAAGAGCTAAAAAAGCCAACGTATGCAAAGTTGGACTGTCAAGTGTTCAATGCTAGGTGTGCGGTGCCACCAACGGTGCTACAATTCCATCCTTATGATCAACAAATTGCAGTTTCAGGGAAAGATAGCTTTGCGTAAGTTAATATTCCTAATAATATTTGTTACTTTTTTATTTAATGTTTTGTTTTGCCTTTTATTATGTCATTTAAATTTTATTTTTGCAAGTTCGTCATATTGATATAAACAAGGATATAAGTAAATATTATTTAAATAATTAATTGCAGCATTTGGGATTGGGGTAAAGGTGCAAAAATACTCAATTGGACCAACAAATCATCTAAGGGTAATAGTAAAATAACGTCGTTGGAGTGGGTAAATGCTCACGATGTGGCCTTGTTGATGGTCGGTTCAGACGATGGTAGCATAAGACTGTGGAGACCGCTCTTTAATAAGAATAGAGAACCGATCCTTGTAACTGCCTGGCAAACTTTTATGGATTCTGCGCCTATGTTAAGGCACATTCGTAAGTTAGATGCTTCTTACCTATCTAAGCAATATTTAAACGATAGTTAACAAGTCTCAAATTTTTAATTTTATAAAAGTTGTGACTCTAGCTCTAATTTATTATTGTATTGACAATGAAACAATGTTTCAAATAGAAAAATCGAGCAAGATTTGGAATATTTCTGCTTAATGCAGAAAATAATAACGTATTGGTAAGATAATTTCTTCTTTTGAACAAATTTAAGATGGAAAAGAGATATGGAGAACTTTAAAAGGCACTGTTTCCAAACCCAGCGCCTGACAGGATACGATAAACGACTCAGTAAACAAACATATAAAAAACTAAACCGTTGTGTAAAATAAAAAACCAAAATATTTTGTTTTTATTAAAGCTGCTAAACTTCTGTTAACGTGGGAGCAGTGGACTGAAACACTGATTGCGACTGGAGACACACGAGTACTTCAGTTTTGGGATGCACAACATGAACTCCGTGCCTTTGAAATACCTACGGGAGCCGATTGTGCCGTCACGTGTGTAGATTCGACGTTTGCCAGCACATGTCACGAGAAATACACGAGATTCCAAGCGGATCCAGATCCATGTGACGATGGCCTGTTCATGGGAATCGACGATCATATCGATTCAAAATTGTTTCAGAAGCAAAGGACGGGAATGGTCGCAGCAGGATGCGCTGATGGCTCAGTCAGGCTATTTGACAGAAGGTGTTCCCCTAATGATGCACTTGTGAAGACATGGATGGAACATGGGGCCGAAGTGCTGGGTCTTTTGTTAAGGGACAACTATATTATAAGTGGCAGGTGAGTCTTTTTTGTGAATATGTTTTTTTTATATTTCTACTTGTAAAAAAATGAATAAAAGTACAGGGTATTCCAACCAGACTTATTCTGTATTAGCCCCATTACAATAAGAGTCACAAAAATATGTTTTAGGCCTTCATTGTTTTTGTAGCTCATGTTTTAATGAGACTGTAGGGAAATTATTTTGTACATAACATGCTTTATGTATAAAAGTAAGCAACAATTTTTATTTTTCAGTAAATTTGTTAAATAAATTACAAAAATAATCTGATGCTCAATGTAGTGTTTTTTGTTATTTAATTGTATTGTAACAGTATGTATGACGAAGTTTATTTTAACTTTTAGCAAGAATGGTGACCTTAAAATTTACGATATAAGAAAAAACCAATCTAAAGCTTCGTACGTTTCCAATAATAGTGAGATTAGTTCCTTATCGATTCATCGAAATTGTGATATTTATGCCTGGTAAGTCGTCTTGTTGTTAATTTTCTAGCGATATCTCGTTTTCTTGCTTTCTCTTTGAATAGTATGTTTATTTGGGGGATGTAAAAATAAATAATAATTATATTTTCTATGAAAACAAAAAATTAAAAGGAAATACTGTATAATCTTGGTGAGTTAACATTCAATCAAAACTATACAATAGAATGTTTCAGTTTACAGATTTTTAACTTAAGGTGGTTTAAGATTATGTTTTACTTGTTGTTAGAAATAGCAATATTTGAAAGGACTAATAGGGTCGATTTAAAAAAAGATAGTATATACCTCGTTTCTCTCAATATAAAATATATATTAAATCAACTCTGATAAGAGGGTGTCCATAATGATGTGACTATTTTAGCACTTTTTGAGTCCCCCTCCCCCAAATGGTTTACCATGGTTTTATTCTTGAAGCCCCCTCCTTATAGGACAACGTAGTATTTAAAAATTTTTGAAATGAAATTACGATAGAATTTTTTTTTAATTTTATTTTTTTATTCAAAGTCATTTGAAACAGTAATTGTCTGGGTTAGTCATTCTTGTAAGTTGTAAATCATAGGAAATACCTTATTTTTAGTTCAAGTATTGACATTGATCAAAAATCTTACTTTCTTTTAGCAATAAAAAGACGTGGTGCTGATGATGACCCCCCGCATTTTGTTCAGAAAAGCTTTTTACTACCCCCCCTCCTCCCCCTTAAAGAAGTGAATGCCTAATAAACCCAAATAATATTTTAAGATATTTCTTATTAAAGTTTGTAAAACCTTCGAGTATCTTTTGGTTTTGATTATTGATAATACGAAATATAGTGAAAATAATGAGAAATTACTAATCAATAGGTAAAAATACGTAAATAGCCAAGTCTGGTCAACAAATTAATCCGATCCGGTCATCAAAAAATAAAATTTGTAATTAACAATTTTTATTCTTTAAGTTTTTCTTATTAAAGTGACATATTTTTATGTAGAATAGGCTTATGGCCGGCCTGGTCAAGACTTTGCTAGATTGTTAAATAATTATTGCATTTTTGTATTTTGTTTAAGTGGTTCTGCGCAGAGTATAAGCATAAACAACTTAAACGGTCAGCTATTGAGTGTCATACGATTGCACGAAAGTTTTATGGGCTACAAAAATGGCCCATTCAGTTGCCTTTCGTTCCACCCTTACAGGGTAGTGTTGGCAGCGGGTACTGTTGACAGTTACCTGAGCGTTTACACGCCCGAACACCGAAGGTGACATGGATCGTTACCCTAGGTAAAGCACCGCAGGGGCTACCTGGGGCATTACTAAACGAAACAGCTAACGCGGATTTTTTGTTGACTTTTAAAGCGGTAATACATAAAACAATAAATAATAAATTAACTAAATACTGTTAAGTTAAAAACGATATTGCTCTCTCTTTCTCTCTCTTACTTATCCTCACTATACTTATCCCCATCTATCTGTTAAGTATACCGTTGTTTTCTTATTGAATGTCATTCTTTAAGGTATGCACGTCTTTCGCAAATATAAGGTCTGTATTTGTGTTTACGATATTAATATAGTTAAATATTCTTATTAAAAACAAATCTATTATTATTCACATCATAACATAATGAAAAATAGAAAGTACAATACAAAATATTTTCTAAGTGAGCCCCTGTTAATGACTGTCTGCTGCAAACGACGTGCGGCCCTTAGTGTTATATATATGCTAGGGATGAATGTAAGAGGATGTAGGTTTTCTTGTTATTATTAAAAACGTCTATTATACGCGTTTATGGGCAGCAGATTAGTTGTATTGGAATTAGAAAAAATTTTTAAGTGTAAAACATACCGGCTTTTTGAAACATTAATAATTTTACACATAAAAACCTTTTTCCTAAAAACAATGAAAATCGCTATCTCAGTTAATGTTCAATGAGTTCCTTTAAAGTTGTAATCGTTTTACGAAACCATTAAGTGCTAACATTGATTTACTTTATGAAAAAAAGAAAGGATTTGTTTACTACTTTAAAGCTTTATTTTCATAACCGTCACAAGTAATGTTAACGAATTAATTTAAAATTACTGTTTAAGTAAAATTCCACTACTTTACACCTAATTCATCCCAATTTAATAAAATAATTTAACTGGAAATGAAACTTAAGCTTTTAAAAGTTGCAGCTTGATAGTTGCATATACTGACTGTAAATAAGACGAATATTAGTCAATTTGTTTATTGTATTATCTAATAGGAAATCAAATGTTACGTACGTTGTATATATACAATTTTTTTTTAATTTAGGTCATTAAGTTATTAAGAACTGCCATGGGATCGTTGATCGCTTTATTTTCGAATTAATTGCTTATCTTTAAGAGATAATAAACAAACGTTACCGTATTTTGTCGATAAAATTGTTCTGAAAAATTTCATGAAGTAGCAAAATTGTTTTTATACCTACTTATTTACATTTTTTTTTTCTTGAAGCTATTTTATATTTTTTATTTCATTAGTGGAATGTGTATCTCTAAAAAAATGAAATTCCGGAATATTAAAACCAAAATGCATTCCATTTTTAAGTAGCTGCTATGCTTTTTATTTTATTTTATTTTTTTTTTTCAAATTTTACTAAAGTTAGGTGTATTGTATTTCGTTTCTTGTATGTCTTACTACTAATATTATGGCTTTACATAAACTACATTAATTAGTTTATAAGTTTAAATACAGGTAAAATTAGACAGCTTGTAATTAAATTACAAAACACGTAGATTTAATATGGATAATGAAATTCAGGGAACGTAATATGTTATTTATAGTTAATAAGCGAGTTCCTTGCCTCTCCCTTGTTGCTAATAAGTAATATTTATTTCCGGTTACTGGTACATATATTTTTTTCTGTAACTGTGGAGGTATTTGTATAGCATAAGTGTCATTTCTTAAAATGTGCTTACTACATGATTACTTACCCCGCTTATTAAATATTACAGGGAGATAAATAAAAATATTATATGTACATATATTATAAATCACCTTGTGTATCTTAAGTTGTTAATTCTTCCTAAAATTGAGTAAATTTTTTTTATTAATTAATAAAATAGTGCTATTTGATTCATCACATAAATTAAGTATACATATAATGAAAATACTTGCAAATAAATAGCTTGTTTTGTATAAATAATTTTAAGGATAGCATTTTGTTCTGGCAACATAAACTACTATTGTGCATAATTATTTACAGTTGATTTGACTGTTTGTGACTGTTATATAGTGTAGCTTATCTTTTAATAGATTTGGTGCTATTGTGACTTGAATTGTAAAAAGCAGTAATATAAATAAATAATATACAAATATTATTTTGTCCTTTTAAATACATAAAAAGACCTTTATAATGATTTATTTTTATTGATTCTTGTCTTACAAAGTACAATTTAATTTATAAAATTAGCTTCTATATTAAATCATTAATGGCAATTCGAGTTATGATAGACTCCAAGAGAGGCAGTTCTTGAAATTCTGAATCAGATATTTTGTATGCTTTCCTAATATCTGTCACATTTGCCATCTCCTTCAATAACGATAGGTTAATTTCATCTCCAATGATTTCTTTAAAAATCTGTTGGGCATTTACACTGTCGTTTTCTTTAGCTATTACAGCCACAATTATGTTATCTACTGACTCGTCAATTCCAAACTTCTGTAAGCTTTGAGTAATATTTTTTGAAATTGACAAATTATACAATATTTCGGTGTAAATAGACTTTGTTATTAACTTTCCTGCTGTAATGGCCTTGTTTGCAGCTACAACGATTTGGAATGGATCTAATATCAAACTTAATTTACAAATACAACATTGTAAAGAACCATCGAAGAGTTTTTCTTTTAGTTCACTTATATTTTTAACATTTTTGAATCCTTTTATAAAAATTACAGAATGGGAAGTTGGATCTAATACTTGTTTATAAGTCATTCTGTATTTAATTGTACATTTAGCAATTAAAATGATTCAGATATACGCAAAGTGTTTACCTTATATTAAGTTTCATAATTTATTTTAAATAATGTGCAAAACTTCCAAATAATATGTCAACATAACCTAATTGATACTTTATTTTCTTTTTCTTATATACTTTCAAAACTGCCTTTATTCAAATAATGTTTATTTAGCCACCGAACATTTTAAGTCAACTGCTACGAATAAATGAACAATCAAGAATAATTTCAGTAAGGGATCTAATATTTGTCCTAAAGATAGTATTTCTGAATTTGATACTGAGATATGAACAATGAGTACTTAATTGGTACTAAAACTAAAACAACTTTTTTTAAAAATCATCTTCATCTACCTTATAGTCCTGATTAGAAATTAGACATGCGTAGAAGTTGGATTCGTATTTTTTGTTTGTTTATCGATTTCATTAGCGATAATTGACGATAATGTTATCATGTCATTGTCATGCCAAAGAAAGCCACATAAGACATGTATAAAATGAAAATGACGTATTATGTTGGAAGCCTCTAAATATCTTTAAAATCCTATTACTTTTAAATTTTAAAATTGTTTGGTTAAGAACATCATCAAAGGGAAGCCATGTTGAAGTAAAAAGAAAAAGAATGTTGTGGAATGCAGAGTGTGGTGTCATCCCATCAGAGCAGTGAACGAATTATTTGTTAAAAATAAGTAAATTAATAGTGACAACCAAGTACTTTTTATATTTATGTAAATATATTCTATAGAGACTGCTGCTTGATATAAAAAGTGTAATTGTTTTAAGTTTGCTGGGAATAAGGATTGGTAAGTGATTGTCTAATGACTTTAAAATGCTGTTACTTTCGATGTTTTACTGCTTTTCATGTTTTATTAATTATGCACAGATAAATTTTACGTGATATTTTAGTAGTTTCGTCATTACTGAAGAAGTATGTATATGTCAACAAGATTATTTTTGCTGAGTTGCCTGATTTTCTGTAGATACATAATTTTTGAATTTAACATTGACGTTTTGAAATATGTATAAATACGTATTCTACTTGAAATTCTGCCTAATCTTTTTTTATTTAATTAATGTTCCTAAAAGCTGTAAAACCGAGGCAAACGTTTCATGGTTATAAAAGATTAGATAGTGAGCTTGTTTTTCAAGGCTATTGATCTTTTATTATTAAATTAAAAGTTAATTTTAAAGGGCACATCAGTCACAAGATCACTGACGTGAAAGACCTCTAGGTACCTATGAATATTTTGAGTTTGCTAGCTTAATCAAATATAATTACTGTGCTAGTTTGAAATTTAATAAAGTAGTAAAACTTGACAATGTATGATAAGTGTATTTTAGAAGTGTTATCAGTTTTTATCCATTATTATTTAAATTAAAATTAAACTCAACTTTTTTTACTAATATAATAGTACTTGTTACAGTAACAAATTAAATGACATTTTTAAATTTGTTATTTTAGATGATTCTTTAGCACTATGCAAGTAAATGTAGCTGGACTTCGTAGAAACCTAAAGAATATAGCACATAATTATTCTGATGCACAGAAGAAGGTACGAGAGGCTACCTCAAATGATCCATGGGGTCCTAGCAGTACCTTGATGGCAGAAATTGCCGATTTAACATACAATGTTGTGGCCTTTACTGAAATAATGCAAATGATATGGAAACGATTGAATGATCATGGAAGAAATTGGAGGCATGTCTATAAGGCTCTAGTTCTTTTAGAATATTTAATTAAAACTGGGTCTGAGAAAGTGGGACAGCAATGCAAAGAAAATATTTTTGCCATACAAACATTGAAAGACTTTCAATATTTGGAAGAAGGTTGGTAACAAAATTATATATGCAACTCATGCACTATACAAATGAAAGTTGTATTTTATTTAAATGTGTGTGAACCTATATGGTTAGTAAGTACTTATTTTTTTTTTGTAGGAAAAGATCAAGGTCAAAATGTAAGGGAAAAGGCAAAAGTTTTAGTGAATTTGCTAAAGGATGATGAGAGATTAAAGAACGAACGTGCAAGAGCCTTAAAAGCTAAAGAGAGATTTGCACAAACTGCAAGCGCCTTTGGCAGTGACGGAGGACTGGATACCCCTAGTAGTCCCAAGTACCCTGCTTTTGGTGGAGGCAGTTGGAGTAGCAGCAAAGATTCAGGTGACTGCCAAACAAGTATATCTTTTGTTATTTAAAAATCATTGTTATCTGTTTGTATTTTTTTTTTTTTAATTATGTGACTATGTTAAAGTTGAATTACCAAAAGAACTGGAACTGGCAAGACCACAGACCGCAGGGGAAGAAGAATTACAATTGCAATTAGCTTTAGCAATGTCAAGAGAAGAAGCAGAACAAGAAGAACAAAAAAAGAGGTCTGATGATGTCCGATTGCAGATGGCACTTAGCCAAAGTCAGCAGGATTTCAAGTAAGATTTTATTTACTAAATAATATTTATATTTAATATTTACTTATTAAATATATTAATCATTTACTAGTTAATAGTTTAATACAAAGAAGTAATATCTTTTTATGTTGTTGTTCTTTTAGGGAGGAGCAAGAGAAACACAAAGGAAATCAGAGTCACATGTTGGACCTTTTAGACGTCAATTTGGGTAGTGAAGCTGCTGCTATTGCGAACAACGATCCTTGGAGCTTGTCGCAGCCTCCACCTCGACCTCAGGTAAATTTTTCTATTCATTTGTAAGTAATTTTGAAGGTAAATATTAATCCAAGACACTATATTTATTTATGTATTTAGTAAAATATCTACACATAATACTATAATTATTTTCAGTAATGCACTGTTAAAATTAATTGATTATTTCTTCAAGTGTTGTAACATAATAATTACAGAAATAACACATTTGAGTCACAAATTATTTTAATCTGCTTCACCTGAAATTTTCCGAGATAATTATTGTGGTGTATTAAAATAATTTGCAACTCAGTCGTGGTATTGCATCAAAATTAATAATTTAAATCATTTTTTTTTATATATTTTACTTTTTTAACTCTTCATTAATTTAATTATTACGTTCCCTTTGTTTACATTATTTAATTATTTTTGATAGTCTTTGGATTTCTCTCAACTTTATTTTATGTCGAAGGTAAGAACACAAGTGTGTTGCTAGTTTTGCTTGATTTTTCAATTGGGTACAATTTAACAATATTTTTTGTTGGTTTTATTGTTTTTTAAAAATAGATTCATAAATAGGCTACTAATAATTAACAATATATCTACAAACACAACATCAGTTGTAGTACCATGTCGTGTTATAGAAACTTTAGGGTCATTATTTAATATAAGTAGAAACAATTCCTCTATACCCTACTATACCTAACTGATATAGCATTTATGACGCTGAGTGTAGGCATCATGTTAATTTTTTATGTCTTGGTGTGCGCGCTTCCTAAAAATTCACTCATCATTCTTCCATAACGCGCCAAAAGAAGTATAACTTCAAAAAATATAATCGTAAATAAATAATATTCTTAAATTTCACTGTTATTGCCTTGTATTACATTGTTCAATTTTAAAATTAGCCGTCAGGGGTTGATCCCTGGCAGCCGGTAACGGGTGTGAAATCGCTTGGGGGGAGCCCGTGGATAGCACCGCCCATTTCTGCCCACTCGCCTCCAATTCCTCCTACCTCGTCCGCAGTGCCTTTAGATCGGAACGTAGCGGCGGCCGCACGGGCCGATCCCTGGTCACCGGCCAGTCAGAGCTCTTCGACTGATCTGGAGGACTTCGATGCAATCACGAATAGAACGCAGTCGCCCAAAGTAAACGGTACATCGAACAATAACGACGTGAACGGTAGTAATGGGACTGCGGATCCCTTCGAACTGAACTTGCTGAACGAGAATTTGCCTTCCCCAGGACCCAGTCCGTCGACCGGGGCCACAAAGAAGACACCCCAAGCCTTCCTCGGAGACAACGCCGCCCTGGTGAATCTTGATAATCTTGTCACGCCGAGTAAGTTTTTTATTATTGTATTTGAAGTTCTGCACACGCAAGGTAAAAAAGTAGACTTCATTATCTTACCAACCACAAGTTATATTGGTTTGAAAATTAGTATTTATAGTATACCTGTGTCTATTTGAGATAAATTAACATTTATTTTAATGGGAGGGGGGGCTCAAATTCAAAGTTAGGATTGCAAAGTTAAAAATGTTTTTCTTTATCATAATATTGTATTATTGAAAGTAAAAACAGCAAAACTTTATTATAGCTTCGTTTATTATTTATGCTTTAAGGTAAACCGTCAACACTTTCGTCAGCTGTTGCAAACCCGTTCTCTGATCCCACGCCCCCGAAGCCGTCAATAAATCAGATAAAACAGGTACCGTTCCAGCCGGCGCAATTCACCCCCACATCCACACCTGCTTATCCCACATCAGGTCTGGGGGTGGCTTACGTTCCACCACAACCGACCTCGCCTTACGCTATCAGTCCCCAGTTTGCCACTTCCGCCACTAGCGTGCCGTTCGCTTCACCCACCACTTTTGGCCCCACGGGTTCCGCTGGGCAGCCAACGAACGATCCCTGGGCACCGATCGGGACTTCGGCGAGTCCGTGGGGTGTTAAACCACGAGAACAAGCTAATCCATTCTTGTCATAACAACGTAACGACCGTGGTCTGTTGCTGATCAATAACAATAAATTGTAAGTAGCCCTTTTCATTTTTTAATTTTTTTTAATTGTATTAATGGCGGTTCACCCCCTAAAGCAATTTTTTGGGAGATGTAAAAATGAATTTATTTTATTGTAATGGATTGTTAGGGTTCTGTGTCAAAAAAGATTGATTGAAAGATTAATACAGTGACTAGGGTGTCCGTTCTATTAAACTAATTTATAATGCCATTGATTTAAGGCAGTTTTGAGCCTGCTTGCCTCCCATTTAAGGCCGATGAGGAATTTTCATAAGAAAAAAAATCTCGGCATAAAAAAATACTGTTGATTTTAATGTAGTAGGTTAAAGAAATGATACGTTTTTGAAATCGTTATCTTTAGCAACGTATTCGTTAATATACTAAACCTTCGGCTCGTGAGTGAAATTTGTATTCATTTGATTTTTTATTTACAGGTTGAGCATATTGAATAATAAACATCCAAGTTAATTGAGTATTAGAGGTACAACTTGATATTGTGTAAAATTATATAAAAAAAAGTGGTGCGAAGTACTAGATAGGAATTTTTTGAAGTACATATATAAATAGAACAGTATGAATTTTGCTTTACATGTACATTTTCCGAGTCATTCTGTTTTTATTCTTTTTTTTAGTCAACGGAAACGTTCAAACTAATCAAATGTCGTTTCTAAAATTTGTCTTCATTTTTATTTAATTTTTTTTTGCTTATCACACGCGAACGTATTGTGATCCATATTGCTCATTATTTTTTTTTATTTTTTTGTATTACTATTCGACGTTGCTCAGTGTATTTAGCGATGTATTCTTATCTTACACTTTTTTATACTACAGATTTTATATCATCTTAGATGATGAAACAATTCTAAATAAAAAAAAGGATTAAAAATAATATAACACAATAATAACATATAAATATACTTTTCACGGCTGGCACGTGAACTTGTGCACTTTTAAGAACTTGCACGCAGTAAAAACACCAAAAATCATTTATTTTTTTATTACTACTGTTATTATTATTTATGTTTTATGCCTATCGTTGTTATTAATTAATCTATTATTCTTTTTGCTGTCACGCTTTGTAGAAAACGCTTAGTTTACATAAATTATGTTTGCAGTGGAGAACGCTATTAAAGGTGTATTTGTTCATGTGTTTTGCGAATAACAAGGACGTGGTTGCAACAAACTTATTATACAGGGTGGAGGGCGATTGGCTTTAGTTAAAGTCAAAATCGGTGTGTTTAAAATACGTACTTGCTTACCTATACATGTTTTTAATTAATAGACACCTTCTACATATGTATTCTAATGTAATACAAAGAGTCAATAGTTTTATTTACTATTATTTTTAACAGTTGTATTACATTAGA